GTTTTATTGACTATGCAAAGGCATTCGACTGTGTGGATCATAACAAATTATAGATAATATTTTGAAGAATGGGAATTCCACACCACTTAACTGTGCTCATGAGGAATGTGTACATAGACAAAAGGCAGTCGTTCGGACAGAACAAGAGGATACTGCGTGGTTTACAGTTAGGAAAGGTGTGCGCCAGGGTTGTATCCTTTCACCATACCTATTCAATCTGTATACGGAGCAAATAATCCGAGAAGCAGGACATTTGAAGAAGAGCAGGACATCAGGATTGGAGGAAGACTCATTAACAACTTACATTATGCAGACGACACAACCTTGCTTGCTGAAAGTGAAGAGGACTCGAAGCACTTACTGATGAAGATCAAAGACCACAGCCTTCAGTATGGATTACACCTCAACATAAAGAAAACAAAATTCCTCACAACTGGACCAGTAAACAATATCATGATAAACGGAGAAAAGATTGAAGTTGTCAACGATTTCATTTTACTTGGATCCACAATCAATCCCTATGGAAGCAGCAGTCAAGAAATCAAAAGACGCATTGCGTTGGGCAAATCTGCTGCACAAGACCTCTTTAAAGTGTCGAAAAGCAAAGCTATCACCTTGAAGACTAAGGTGTGCCTGACCCAAGCCATAATGTTTTCAGTCACATCATATGCATGCAAAAACTGGGCAAGGAATAAGGAAGACCAAAGAAGAATTGACACCTTTGAATTGTGGTATTGGCAAAGAATACTGATGACCAAAAGAACGAACAAATCTGTCTTGGAAGAAGCACAACCAGAATGCTCCTTAGAAGCAAGGATGGCAAGACTATGTCTTACATACTTTGGACATGTTTCAGGAGGGATCAGTCCCTGGAGAAGGAAATCATGCTTGGTAAAGTACAGGGTCAGCGACAAAGAGGAAGACCCTCAATGAGATGGACTGACACACTGGCTGCAATGATGGGCTCGAGCAGAACGACGATGGTGAGCATGGCGCAGGACTGGTCAGTGTTTCTTTCTGTGGTGCATAGGCTATGAGTCAGAACCAACTCGACAGCACCTAACAACTACAGGGCCTGCGGCCCGAAGGAGGAGACCTTCTCAAACGCCCATTCCCAGGAGAATAATAATAATAATAAACAAACCCATTGCCATCGAGTCGATTCTGACTCATAGCAGCCCTATAGGACAGAGTAGAACTGCCCCTATAGGGTTTCCAAGGAGCGGCTGGGGCATTCATACTGCCAACCTTTTGGTTAGCAGCCAAGCTCTTAACAACTGTGCCACCAGGGCCCCCAGGAGAATAAAGCGAGAGGCAATTCCTGGCAGAAGAAATGATATAAACAAACGTATGGGAACAGGCAAGTCCATGTTTGGAGAACTGGTAGGTAGTTCTGCTTGGCTGGGAGCCCTGGTAGCACAGTGGTTAAGCGCTCAGAAGGAGAAAGATGTGACAGCCTGCTTCTGTAAAGATTTACATCCTTGGAAACCCTATGGGGCAGTTCTACTCTGTCCTACAGGGTTGCTATGAGTTGGAATCAACTGAAGGGTAACCGGTTTGGTTTGGTTTTCTGCTTGGCGGGAGCAGAGAGAGGGTCAGGAGGAGTGGTGGGTGATGGAGATAGAGATATCCCGCGGGTCTGTGAGGAGGAGCTCAGGAGGGGGACTGTATCCCTTAAACTCTGAGAACCTAGAAGGGTCTGAGGGCAACTCTGGTTCCGACAGCCCACTCCCCCCACCTCACACACACACACACACACACACACACACACACAGTGTCCATCCTTCATACCTGGGAGCTGTGACCACGCACACACAGCACTTTGGGGCTTACAATGCTCCCTACCACACAGCCCCCAGCACCCTGGGAGTGGGGGTGGGTAACTGCCTGGGGCAGAAACCCAAAGACTGGGCTGAAGCAGGCCCCTCCGCAGGAGGAGGTGGAAAAAGATGGAGCTGCGCCTCAGGCTGCACACCATGGACCGGGCAGGTGGAGGAGGCTGCGTCACCGTCACCGCCGGGAAGTTGTATGGCTGGAGCCCACTCACAGCCCCACTCCCCTCTGAGTCACCACAGAGCACTGGCATCTGTTGCTCAGCAACGGAGGCCCCAGCCCCTGGCCTGGTTAACCCCTCACCTCCCAAGTAGGAATCCAGCCAGCAGCCACTATGGATCTAAGGCCAAGACTCCTCTGAATTTGGCTAAAACTGCCATCCAGCCTATTCTAAAAGGGGGCATCACAGAATGAGGGATGCAGAGTTCACTGCATTCCACTCCTCGTTGATCCACTGAGGAAACTAAGGCTCAGAAAGGACAAGGGCATTGTCCCAGGTCACCCAACTAGCAAACTGAGATGGGATCTCCCAGGCCCCTGCATTCCTCTGTACACATGGTCAGTTTATCCATTAGGCATGGTAAGGGCAGTGCCTACCAACCAAACCAAACCCACTGCCATCAAGTCCATTCCAACTCATAGCAACCCTATAGGACAGAGTAGAACTGCCCCATAGGGTTTCCAAGGAGCAGCTGGTGGATTCGAACTGCCGACCCCTTGGTTATCAGCTGAGCTCTTAACCACTGCCGCACCAAGGCTTCCCTATAAAAATGTTTACAGCCTGGAAAAAAAATCAGTGTTTCAAAATATGAATGGAAAACTGCAAAATCAAGTTTAATAAAATGTTTAATTAAAGTTTACAAAACAGAACATTGAGTTGGCTTCATTAATGGCTAAATTTAGAAGGTGTAAAACATTTCCTTACATTTGAAAATGATGTATAAATTAGCTTTTGTCACCTTGTAAGAATTCCTGAGCAGTCACTATGACAGCTGAGAAATTCTAGCCACCTCTAAATTAAATGAATTGTTTGTAGCCAAATAATTTCAAAAGCAGAATTATAAAAATTCTTTCAATTCATTTACAGCAAAAAAAAACAGGTTCTTTTTTAATATAGGATATGAGGCATTGGTGGTTCAGTGGTAGAATTCTCGCCTCCCATGTGGGAGGCCCAGGTTCGATTCTCGGCCAGTGCACCTCATACACAGTCACCACCCCTATGACAGTGGCAGCTTGTATGTGGCTATGGTAACCCGTTGTCGTTGAGTCAATTCCTACTCATAGCGACTACTCATATAGATGACAAAGTAAAATTGTCCCATAGAGTTTCCAAGGCTATAAATCTTTACGGAAGCAGACTGTCACATCTTTCTCTCGAAGAGCTGCTCATGGGTTCGAACCTCTAACCTTTTAGTTAGCAGCCAAGTGCTTTAACACCACTGTGACACCAGGGCTCCTTCATTGCTATGGTGCTGAGTAGGTTTTAAGGGAGCTTCCAGACTAAGATAGACTAGGAAGAAAGGCCTGGTGATCTACCTCTGAAAATCAACTAATGAAAACCCCATGGATCACAACAGTCCGATCCACAATGGATCACGGGCGTGGCACAGGACCAGGAAGCATTTCATTCCATTGGGCATGGGGTGGCCATGAGTCGGGGCTGACTGGATGACAGCTAACTACAACAGTATGTGGTACATGGTAGGAGAAGCTTCCAGAAGTAAGAAGGCTGTAACTGTACCACCTTCCCCAGTCAGGGCTCTTGTAGCTGGAGCCACAGCTGTACCTCAGGCTGTACATGGGGACAGTGAGGGACCTGCCTGGAGGGTGCTGCTCCCGCCTTCACCTCTGGACAGTAGAGCTGGCTGGGAGAGTGCATGCCTCGGAACAAAATGGCTCTGTAGGATTTTCCCCCCTGAAAAATAAAGCTTCGCCTCTGCAGACAGGATGGGCAGCTCGCTGAACTGCAGCTGCAGTAGCAGTATCTTCGCGGCCACGCTGAGTGTGCACACAGCAGCTCCCCACACCCTGCTGAAATGACCGATCCCGTTAGTGACAAGGTGCCAGAGAGAAGCCTGATTCCATGTTCCATGCAGGTTATGCTGATGGAAACAAGATACAGGCTTCATGCTGGGTTCTTCATTGTATCAGGAGTCCTGGGGGAATGTTTCCTCCAGTAAATGGTAAACCGTTACTGGCTTTCTAGCACCATAAGAGATTAACAGTCCTGCAGTCCTTCTTTTGAGGCTCCATGGATAATCCTGAAGTGCCCTGGAGAGTCAAGCCCCCCAAGGCTCCATTAGAGGGGCTCAGGGAGGGTAGATGGGGGGAAGACAGCATGGGTTTAGAACCTGAAGACTTAACCTCAAATCCTGGATGCCGTTCCTAGCTCGACTCTCCAAAGAGAAGTGATTTGTCATTATGAGACTCAGTTTTTTCATTTGCAAAACGTAAGAGAGGTAACAGGGTATCATTTAAAAGTTTCCCTCCAGCTCTAAAGCAAGAGCTTCATTTTCTCTCTGTGGCCATGTGGCTCCTTCCCTGAACCCTTTTAGTCTTGGTGCCCCCAAAGGTCTACCCTAAGACCTTGGCCCACCTCAGACCCAAGGTATCTGCTGTAGGGCCTGCCTGGTCTCCTACCCTCTCCTTCCTCCTCATCCCACAGTTGGGTTGTCTATTCTGTGCTTGTTCCTCATTAATCAAAGTGTGTACCTGAGGCACCACAAAGCTGGGGTACCCAAATTAAATTTTTAAGGTAAGAAAATTAACAAGTTGTCGTCAAGTCAATTCCAACTCATGGCAACCCCATGTTTGTCAGAGTAGAACTGTGCTCCATAAGGTTTTCAATGGCTGATCCTTTAGAAGTAGACCACCAGGACTTTCTTCCAAGGTACCTCTGACTCAAACCTCCAACCTTTCAATTAGCAGCTGAGCACATTACTGTTTGCACCCAGGGACTCTGTAAGAACTTCTGAAAATCAGCCAATGAAAACCTTATAATGTATAATTACAGTTACCCGTCTTCTGTCCTTTGTGCTATTTTGCCACATATTTTCCATTTTTGTACATTATAAACCTTGCAGTACAATGCTATATATATTTTTTTGCTTTAAACAGTCATTTGTCTTTTTAAGAAATTGAAAGAAGAAAAACTATTGTTTTTATATTTACTCACATTTCACAATTGCTGGCACTCTTCATTCTTTCCCTTATATCTGAGTTTCCATTCTGGTGTCATTTCCCTTCAGCCTGAAGAACTTCCTTTAGCATTTTTGTAGTGCAAGTCTGCTAGTAACCAATTTTCTCAACTCTTGTTTAACTGGAAATGGCTTTTTGAGCCTTCTTTTTTGAAGTATATTTTTGCTGGATATAGAATTGAGTTCTTTTTTCCTTTCTGCACTTTATGGATGTCTTTCCATTGTCTTATGATTTCCATTGTGTTATGATTTCCATTGTTTTTTATGAGAAGTCAGTTATCACTTGTATTATCATTCCCCTGTATGTAAAGTTTTTTTCCCTCTGTTTTCAAGATTTTCCTTTTCTTTGGTTTCCATAGTTTGATGATGATGTGCCTAAACCAAACCAAAACCAAACCCGTTGCTGTTGATTCAATTCCGACTCATAGCAACTCAATAGGACAGAGTAGAACTGCCCAATATGGTTTCCACAGAGCAGCTGGTGGATTCAAACTACTTACCTTTTGGTTAGCAGCCAAGCTCTTAACCACTGCACCACCAGGGCTCCGATAATGTACCTAGGTACAATTTTATTTGTATTTATTCAGCCATACATTTTGTTAAGCTTCTTGGACCTGCAAATTTCTGTTTTTCACCAAATTTTAGGGGAAATAGGCCATTGTTTTATATCTAGATAGAGAGAGAGAGAGAGAGAATTTTCCCCCAATTCTCTTTTTCTTCTCCTTCTGGGTCTCCAATTACACATATGATGGGCCACTTGATATTGTTCCACAGGTCACTGAGACTATGTTCAATTTGATTTTAATTTTTTTCTATTCTTCAGAGTGGATGATTTCTTTTGATCTATCTTCAATTTCACTCACTCTTCCTTTTTTCATCTCCAACTTGCTATTCAGCCCACTACTAAATTTTTTATTTCAGATATTTTATTTTTCAATTCTGGAATTTTCATTTGGCTCTTAGTTTTATCTTATTTTTTCCCATCTTTATCATTATGGTCAAGTATTAGAATATTTTAATAGTTGCTTTTTAAAGATCTTGTCAGGTAATTCCAGCATCTGGGCTACTTAACTGTTTCTATTGACTATTTGTTCTCTTGACTATGAATCTCATTTTCTTGTTTCTTCACGTTTAGTATTTTTTAGTTATATACTAGTCATTGTGGATAATACATTACAGAGATTATGGATTCTGCATTTTTTCTATGAGGGAGGTAAGTTATTAGCCAATCACCTTGAACTCTTAGAGGCTTGGTTTATATATTATTAGCGTATACCTATTTCAGTTATGTCATTAGTCCCAGGGAAAATCCCTAGTCTTAGGAGATAATCTTCTGGGATTTCAATGGAAAGCTCAAGGATCCACCAAGCCTCTCTAATATGACAGGATTCAAATTTCAAGCTCTGTCTCTGCTAAAATCTTTGCTCAGCTCCTTTAGCCTTTCAACTATTGCTTTTTGTCAGGCTCCCTAGTGTCTCCCCTGCACGTGTGCATTTCAGAGATCAGTCAAGGATTTGAAGGAATTTATATTGAGATTTAGGGACCCCTCTATAGCAATCCCCTTATCAGTCTTCATGTCTCCAACTTCTATCCACTCTGGAAACCCTTAACTCCAAGCCAATCCGACTGAGGCTCTCTGCCTAAGTCCCAGCCAGCCAATACCATACAGACTGGAGAGTGCTTTTGGGGAAAATCATACAAATGTATATCTCATTCAGTGAAGTTCCTTCATTTTAAGAGTGGAATATGCTCCAGTATCTACCCACTTTTGAGTTCTCTCCAGTGTCTTCAAATAGTTGCATTTCACGTTTTATTCAGGGTTCACAATTATCTGTGGGAAAAATACTCTGATATAAATCTTTCTACCATTATCAAACTGGAAATGAGGCAAAAAATATGTTCTATTTGATAATTAATACTTCTACTTCTAAAAAAAAAAGTAGTTATCATAGGAAAATCATAACTTTGTTGAAGTTGTTTCTACTGATTTTTAGGGTTTGATGTTGTTTTATTAAAAATTTAATAAAGGGGAGGTGGGGACAAGAACTCAGACACTTCCTGTAGTCTCTCTTACAACAAAGACCCAAAAAAAAAGTGAATCAATTATATATGACAATCTAGGAGCCCTGAACACCAAAAACAAAGTTGAGGAGTCAGACTGAGCAATAGAGGGAGGGAGAGACAGTTCAGAAGCAGCGAAGATTTACCAGACCTGACCTGGCCAGCACTGTGCAGGCTGGATCAACTGGCACGCACAGGCTGAGGTAAGCAGTAGTGCTCGGGAAGTGTTTTCCATGTCGGGAGAAATCAAGCGGCTGAGAGTCTGTGATTGTCACACCCCTGGGCAGAAAGTGGGACCTGCTGCAACATGCCTGAGCCAGTATCCCAGCTTTGGAGAGGAAACAAATAAACAAATGAAGAAAACAAGAAAAAAGAATCTGCTAGCTCTCCTAAGCCGGGATCTCAGGGCAGGCACTGCCTCTTTAGCTAGGCATAAGCATAAAGGGTCCACAGACTTTGAATGCCTTTCATCCCTGCCTAGACCTGTGTGGGCCCATTTCAACAGCGTAGGCTCTCATTAGCATAGTACAACAAGGTATATACCTGAAGCTTATTTTCAACTGCAACAGTTAAGAGGGAGTGGCAGATTCATGACATTTGACACTGCCTTACCCAGTAAGCAAGGTCCTCACCTACCCACATCAGGGGCCTGAAGACTGGGGGCTCCACCCACTCCATCTAGCCACCCACGAGAGGGGTCCAAGAATAAGTGGTGCCTCCCAGTCCTTACAGCCAACAGCACTGGGTACTCAAACTCCAGCTGCAAAACCCACCCACCTACACGCTCTAAGGAACAGGGACATGCCTTCCACCCAGGCACTCAGGGGCAGCCATCAGCCCCATACCTTGCTCAGCACATAACCCCCTACTGCAGCCAGATACCTGTGCCTTCTCCAATCACCCATACTTAACCCTGACCATCTAGGACTGTAGGTTAG